ATACAGGATTTATATATTTATTATTTTTATACAGGATTTATTTATTATTATTATTATTATTATACAGGATTTATATATAATTATTATACAGGATTTAGATATTATTATTATTATACAGGATTTAGATATTATTATTATACAGGATTTAGATATTATTATTATTATACAGGATTTAGATATTATTATTATACAGGATTTATGGCACCAACAGTTTTGCTCAGCGCTTTACAATATAAGGGAGACAGTACAATTACAATACATTTCAGTACAGAAGGAATAGGAAGGCCCGGCTCGTGGAGCTTACAATCTAAAGGAAGGGGGAGGTGATAGAAAAGGTGATAGCTGCGGGGGATGATCTGGCGGAGGTGATTCAAGTACAGTTCTTAGGTGGAGGAGGGGTGGGCTTCCCTGAATAAGTAAGTTTTCAAAGATCGCGCTTAAAGACAGACAGGGTGGGGGCTGACCGGACATACTGTGGTAGGGAGTTCCAGAGGATGGGAGAGGCTCTGGAAAAGTCCTGGAGGCGAGCGTGGGAGGAGGTGATGAGGGAGCTAGAGAGGAGGATATCGTGGGAGGAGCGGAGTGGGCGATTTGGTCGGTATCTGTGGATGAGGTTGGTGATGTAGCTAGGGGCAGTGTTGTGGATGGCTTTGTAAGCTGTGGTTAGTATTTTGAATTTTATACGTTGGGTTAGTGGAAGCCAGTGGAGGGATTGGCAGAGAGGGGCAGCAGTCGCTGATCGGTTGGTAAGGTGGATGAGTCTAGCAGCAGTTGCTGATCGGTCGGTAAGGTGTATGAGTCTAGCAGCAGTCACTGATCAGTCGGTAAGGTGGATGAGTCTAGCAGCAGTCGCTGATCGGTCGGTAAGGTGGATGAGTCTAGCAGCAGTCACTGATCAGTCGGTAAGGTGGATGAGTCTAGCAGCAGTCGCTGATCGGTCGGTAAAGGTGTATGAGTCTAGCGGCAGTCGCTGATCAGTCGGTAAGGTGGATGAGTCTAGCAGCAGTCGCTGATCGGTTGGTAAGGTGTATGAGTCTAGCGGCAGTCACTGATCGGGGGTGGTAAGGTGGATGAGTCTAGCAGCAGTCGCTGATCGGTTGGTAAGGTGTACGAGTCTGGCAGCAGCATTCATAATAGACTGAAGGGGGGATAGACTGTGTAACGGTAGACCAGTGAGGAGGGAGTTGCAGTAATCGAGGCGGGATATAACCAAGGCGTGGATGAGTTGTTTTGTGGTGTCATTGGTCAGGAAGGGGCGGGTTTTGGAAATGTTCCGGAGGTTGAGGCGCGGCAGGATTTAGTCAGTGAGTGGATGTGGGACCCAAAGGAGAGGTCAGAGTCTAGGATTACGCCTAGCACCCTGGCATGAGGGGAAGGACCAATGGTTGTGCTGTTGATCTTAATGATAAAGTCGTGAGTGGGGGATCGGGGGGGAGGTAACATTACAAGCTCGGTGTTGGAAAGATTAAGTTTGGAGGTAGTGATGTGACATCCATGCTGATATGTCGCCTCAGTAGATTTGTGATACGTGAGGAGATTGAGGGGGTGAGCTGGGGAGTGGAGACATAGAACTGGGTGTCATCAGCATAGAGGTGGTATTGGAAGCCATGGGAGGTGGTGATCAGTTGGCCCAGGGAGGAGGTGTAGAGAGAGAAAAGGGGGCCCAACGACAGCATGTATGTGTGTGTATATGTATGTATGTGTGTGTGTATGTATGTATGTATGTGTGTGTGTATGTATGTATGTATGTATATATGTATATATATTATATACTCCAAAAGTTTTCCTCCCCTGGCAGAAATGGTGCAAGTTTGGCGTTTATATTGAAAGACCGATCATGCCAGAAACTGTCTTTGGTTACAGGATAGGGATGATATGAAGCCATTTATTATCTCATAGCTTGTTGGCTCCTTTTTAAAGAACATAAATCCCCCTAATGGGCCCGCATCAAATACCTCCCTCCCCTGGAATGTTCAGCCTTGGTACAGACACACGTGGTGACGCACACAGGTTATCATGGCAATTAAAAGTTAATTTCCCACATCTGTGGATTTTTAAATTGCAGTTAGTGTCTGTGTATAAATAGTCAATGAGCTCACTCTCACGTGGATGCACTGAGCCATGGGGAGCAGAAAAGAACTATCAAAGACCTGCTTAACAAGGTAATGGAAACGTTTTAAAGATGGAAAAGGATATGAAAAGAAATCCAAAGTCATTGAGTGTGCCAGTCAGTACTGTTCAGTAATTAAGAAATGTAAAATTCGAGGATCTCTTGATACCAAGCCAAGGTCAGATAGACCACGAAAGATTGCAGCCACAACTGCCAGAAGAATTGTTCGGGATACAAATAAAACCCCACTGGTAACCTCAGGAGAAATTCAGGCTGCTCTGGAAAAAGACGGTGTGGTTGTTTTAAGGAGCATAATATGACAAAAATAAGTGCATGGTTGAGTTGCCAATAAAGTCTTTACTGCACCAATGCCACAGAAAAAGCCCGGTTACAATATGCCTGACAACACCTTGACACATCTCACAGCTTCCGGCATACTGTAATCTGGAGTGACAAGACCGAAATAGAACTTTATGGAAACAACCATACTTGCTATGTTGAGTGGGCTCAACAGGGACAAGAATACCATCCCCACTGTGAAGCATGGTGGTAGCTCACTGATCTTTGGGGGGGGGGGGGGCAAGCTCTAAAGGCACAGGCAATGTTATAAATTGATGGCAATATAAATGCAGCACGTTATCAGAAAATACTGGCAGACAATTTGCATTCTTCGGTTTGTAAGCTGCGCATGGGATGCTCTTGGACTTTCCAGCACGACGATGACACCTAAGCACAAGGCCAAGCTGACCCTCCAGTGGTTACAGCAGAAAACGGTGAAGGTTCTGGAGTGGCCATCAGTCTCCTGACCTTAATATCATCGAGCCGCTCTGGGGAAATCTCAAACATGCACTTCATTCAAGACCACCAGAGACTTTGCATGACTTGGAGGCATTTTGCCAAGACCAGAGGGCAGCTCTACCACCGGCAAGATTCGGTGGGCCTCATAGACAAGTATTACAGAAGACGGCACGCTGTCATTGATGCTGAAAGAGGGCAATGCACAGGATTAAGAACTAAGGGGATGCAGGCTATTGAACGGGGCATTTCATTGGTTTACTTGTTGCCATGGTTTTTATGATTGGGCCATTCTGGTATCACCTCCAGTTACAGAATATGAATCCATAAGAAATACAAGAAATGGGTTTTGCCGGCTCACTCACGTTTTCTTTAAAAATGGTACAAACTGTATATTACCAATTCTCCAAGGGGAGGCAAACTTTTGAGCACAACTGTATGTGTGTGTGTTTACATGCGCATGCGCACACACACACACACACGAACCTAGAATCAGCATATATGCACTGAATATTGTCATTTAATCATTGGTAATACGTGTCACCCAGAAGTACCAGTTTTAATCTTTGTTCTCTGATGGCTGAATGGATGATAAGGGGAGTAAAAGAAAAGGTTTGTATATCCTGTTGGGGTGGGAGGGAGGAAAAACACATTCTTGCTACGGTTTTGGCTAATTTAATGCAGATCCCAACAGGTGATCCCTTTGACAGAGATAGGATCCCCACGTGTGCGTCTACTGTAGTGGTCCCATTCATAAATGATCCCAACGTGTGCATCTTCGGTAAAGATCTTTCACAGAGCCAGTATCCCAACATGTACATTGTTCATAGAAATAACTCCCAACGTGTGCATCTTTCATTAAGAACTTTTTTCAAAGCTAGTTTCCCAATGTGTGACATCCATATAGATCCAAACATTTTCTCTTCCGTAGAGGTCCCTTTCACAGAGATTGGATTCCAACATGTGCCTCTTCCGTAGAGGTCCCTTTCACAGAAATTGGATCCCAACATGTGCCTCTTCCGTAGAGGTCCCTTTCACAGAAATTGGATCCCAACATGTGCCTCTTCCGTAGAGGTCCCTTTCACAGAAATTGGATCCCAACATGTGCCTCTTCCGTAGAGGTCCCTTTCACAGAGATTGGATCCCAACATGTGCCTCTTCCGTAGAGGTCCCTTTAACAGAGATTGATCCCAACATGTGCCTCTTCAGTAGAGGTCCCTTTCACAGAACTGGTGTCCCCAAAACGTGTATCTTCCATAGAGATCCCTTTCAAAGATGGGATCCCAACGGGTGCGCCCTCCGTGGAGTCGGGATCCCAACGGGTGCGCCCTCCGTGGAGTCGGGATCCCAACGGGTGCGCCCTCCGTGGAGTCGGGATCCCAACGGGTGCGCCCTCCGTGGAGTCGGGATCCCAACGGGGTGCGCCCTCCGTGGAGTCGGGATCCCAACGGGTGCGCCCTCCGTGGAGTCGGGATCCCAACGGGTGCGCCCTCCGTGGAGTCGGGATCCCAACGCGTGCGAGGTGGAAGCTATGCACATATTTGACAGCACACCATGGATCTTCAAAGAGCATCCAAAGGCTTTACTCAACAATGATTACGTAGAGAGGGGATCCCAACGTGTACACCCCTCGTAGAGAGGGGATCCCAACGTGTGCACCCCTCGTAGAGAGGGGGGATCCCAACGTGTGCACCCCTCGTAGAGAGGGTGGGATCCCAACGTGTGCACCCTTCGTAGAGAGGGGGGATCCCAACGTGTGCACCCTTCGTAGAGAGGGGGGATCCCAACGTGTGCACCCTTCGTAGAGAGGGGGGATCCCAACGTGTGCACCCTTCGTAGAGAGGGGGGATCCCAACGTGTGCACCCTTCGTAGAGAGGGAGGGTCCCAACGTGCGCACCCCTGTAGAGGTAGGGTCCCAACGTGCGCACCCTCCATAGATTCGTTGGGTTTGTTGTGATGGGTTTTATATATGGCACAAGTCTCTAGGAAGCAGTGAGGCAAAGTGATGGTAACTGACAACTGATCCTGGTAGCGGTGAATTAGAATTATATGTGATCAATTGTCACTTCAGGACTAACAAGATCTCCTCTGCAGGAGGACGGTGGTCCAGCACGTCATCCAGTCCTATCAGAGATTACCAGGAAACACTCTACTACGCAGCTTCCGTGTCACATACAAGAGACACGTACTAACCATGGATGACCTGAGCACCCTGTACGGCCAGAACTGGCTGAATGACCAGGTAAGTGACAGCCGTGATCAGCAGTGTGGTCTGTACAGGACGGAGGGACGGGCGTATTAATGGCTGTGTATTTTGCAGGTGATGAACATGTATGGGGACTTAGTCATGGATGCGGTACCAGAAAAGGTCGGTGTCCTTTGAATATTTCCTCTGTGATGATTGACATGATACAGTTGGTTCCCTAGGAAGCGGCCATTTTTGTTTTATAATTTATAACACATTCTGACTCTTTTGTTAGTATATTCCCAGTATTATCTAGTAAAGTACTTAAGTCAGCCAGAATGCCCCCCCCATCACACCCACAGTCACACAGACCCCTCTTCTGGGGTCCAGCAATGTGGTGGAGGATGGGAGGTGGAGGAGGAAGATGCTGGGAGAGGCTCTGTATACCACCTGTCCTGGATCAGAGTCATGTAGTGCCATCAGGCAAGCTGGCCGCCATCACTAGAGCAATAAATGGCGCTAGGCATCCTGGCCCCCAAACAATCATTGGTGGTTGTGGTGCTGGCAGCTGACCTGCCCGCACCATAACTCCATACACTGATCCAAAGCAGACTAGTTCCAGGTTTGCCTCACCCGGGGGGGGAACTCCGATGCCACCACAGGGTGCTGCTTCCATGTACATGCACATACGTAAATGCACGCGTTGCGCGCCTTGCATACAAAAACGTCAGTTGTGCTGCAGGTTACATATCGCCACGCACGCCAGTCATTGAAGGTGGAACTAAAGCCTTCATACTTACCTGTCCAACAGTCCTGCAGCAGCACCGGCATCTTCTTCTGGGTGCGGGTCTTTGGGCCCCTGGATTGGCCAGCGGGGGGATGATGTCACTCTTGCACATGCGCAGGAGGCCGCTGTCCCAACACTCCGAAACCGGCTCGGCACTATAAGCTGAGCTGCGCATGCATCGCTCAGTTTACGGTGCCGGAGGAGACGGTGAGCAGGCAGGTTGGGGCAGAAGAGGCCTTGCATGCAATAGCAGGGGTGTGGGAATGTTTGAAAAAACGACTTGTCCAGGGACTGAATCAGTTCCAATCTACTTGTTCAGATGAAGAAAAAAAATACATTTAAATCGGAGGTGATATTAGGAATGTTGGGGGCTTTTAAAATCAAAAGGGGCGACTTAAACGTTTTAATATTTTTACCATTGCGCTGTTTATCTCCTCCTCCCCTCCCTGCCTGTCTCTAGCACCGCCCCCGGGACTAGCAGGGAGGGGAGAGACCTGCGTAACAGGTGTATCGCAATTGACGTTTTCATGTGTAGGTGCCCCAACGTGTGCTTTTACGTTTGTACGTGCGTACATATGGGGGGGGGGGGTCCTCCCAGATTTTTTTTTTTTTTTTTTTTTTTTGACGGGATGTTATGTGCTTGGCTGTATCTTTTTACTTTTTTACAATGGGAAAATAAAACTTTTTTTTTTTTAATTTTCATCACATAGGGGACTAACATGTCCTTATGTGATGATTTTTGGTGACAGGTTCTCTTTATTGAGACATCCAGTGTCTCCCCTGTACTCCACTAAATGTAATGCAGTGCACATCACCAGGGCTGCTGTTAGAAACCATGGGACCCCTTACAGCCAACCTGACAGGCCCCCCCAAACCGCAGGCCCTATACAGCCAACCTAGCAGGGTCCCCATCCCCACAAAAAGAACAGTTCACTATGCTTTAGTTATGAATGAACACAATGAGTGATTGGTAATGATCACTCGTGTTCATTCAGTAAAGGAAGGGGCTGGTAAATTACTGGAACCGATCCCCTGTATTTCCCTGCAGGAGCTGAAAGCCAGCGGAGGGGGGAGAAGAGAAGAAGCCAGCTTTCAGCTGCTGCAGAGAGCCATACAGGGAATTGGTTCAAGTAATTCTCCCCCCCTTCACGGCCGTGCCGCTCACCCTCTCTGCCCACATTCACCCACCCTGCTGGCCTGGGCCCTGTACAGGGGGACAAATTTTACTGAAAAATTGAATAGTGTGTGTGTGCGCCAGCAGGGCTGGGCTGAGACCTGTTGAGAGGGAGTACTGAGACAGGGTGCTGTGATGTTCTCAGGAAGCTGTGTACAGCACCCTGCTGGCCTCTCCCACCAGCCATGATCTGCCTGCATTGCATATAGTAGCACAGGGACTCAGTGATAACATCACTGTGCTGTGTCTAAATAAGGTTTTATTTAAAAAGTCGTTCACATGTTGCTGAGGGGGAAGGGATGACCCAGGGAAGGCAAAATATAAGCAGATAAACTTCAGTGGACAGATCATTTTTCTGATGACCGGATCTTCCTCCCTTTTTTAGGTTCACTTTTTCAACAGTTTTTTCTACGACAAATTGAGAACCAAGGGATATGACGGAGTAAAGAGGTGGACAAAGAATGTAAGTGTGTCCTGATGAAGGGAAGATTGCTGGTACCTGTAGTTGTTTCTTGATCCTGCTGCTGCTGCCGACAGCTAGTGACTGCACCCCCCCCCCCCCCCCTCCAAGCATGCTTTACCCTAAAAGTTAACATTCCCTCTGAGCATGCCAGACACGGAAGCAGATCTGTGCTGGCATGATCATTTTTCATCCCTGGAAGTTGCCGGATACTGTGCCAACACATGGCGTGCCTATACCTCCCATTGTCAGTTTTGCTGCCAGGTTCCCCCGTCTAGTCTTGCTGTGCCCTGCATTATCAGTGTACTGGACACCATACACAAATACAGCAGCTGAGCCGGGCCCCCAGTGCCTTCCGGCTGTGCCCTGGCTGGGCCGGGCCCCCAGTGCCTTCCGGCTGTGCCCTGGCTGGGCCGGGCCCCCAGTGCCTTCCGGCTGTGCCCTGGCTGGGCCGGGCCCCCAGTGCCTTCCGGCTGTGCCCTGGCTGGGCCGGGCCCCCAGTGCCTTCCGGCTGTGCCCTGGCTGGGCCGGGCCCCCAGTGCCTTCCGGCTGTGCCCTGGCTGGGCCGGGCCCCCAGTGCCTTCCGGCTGGGCCGGGCCCCCAGTGCCTTCCGGCTGGGCCGGGCCCCCAGTGCCTTCCGGCTGGGCCGGGCCCCCAGTGCCTTCCAAGCAGATGTTTAAAATGAAAATAGACTTTTTTGTTCATATTTATACATTCCCATGGCTTCAGAAAAGTGAGTGTCGGCTGGTATAATGACACTTGAAACCATGGCAACATATAAACAATAACCACATGTGCCAGATCTCATACAGCACTAAAGCAAATACATCGGGTGCAGGCGTCATCGGCCGGCACCCAAAAACTCCACCCCTACTATGGGAAATAAAATGATATATTCTCAGGACTTGTCCCTGTAAAAAAAGAAAATATGACTATCCCATGCAGTTCAGCCTTGTCTTGCTTGTAGTAAAGTTCACCTATGCTGCTCCACACTACAGGAAAATTCTGATCCGGTTCATGCTCACACCACGATGTGTCTGCACGTGCACCGGACCCCCTACACGTGCAGGAAAGCTGCAGACCCTACCAGTAACCTGGCGGAGACCATGCTCCATTTCTGTGCACCAGATCCAGCAAGTGGCCCCCTGGGATGGGTGATGCAGTATAAATCCCAAGAGGCAGTTTGCAGGACTCTGTGGAGAAGTCGGGGACAGAACAGAGGAACATTCGAACAGTGGTGACGGTTCGCTTTAATTTTCAGGACACAAAAGTGTATTTCAGGTGTGCCAGCAGTGTGAGATCATTAAAGCTCCTCTTACATAATGCTCTGGAGCGGCTTCCCTGCCGCTGTACCCAGCCATATGTCGCTCTGTTGCTGCTCCCTTGCTAGCGATTTAGTTTCAGCAGTGCTTCGGGCACCAACACAGCGACTTCCACCGGGGAGAACAAAAGCCGAATTTCCGTCATTCTGCCCCTGGCAAGGTGTCACCGCCGCACAATCACAGATGAGGTATTACCAGGCTTGCAGAGAATACACGGCTGCCGGCTCCCACATCTGCCAGGGAGACATGGAAATGAGTCTGGTATTAGAAATGAATTATATTGGTAATACAAGGAGGAAAGTTTACTAAGTAGTTTGGTAAAGTGATAGTAATGATGGGGGGGGGGCAGAAAATGTTCATTCTAACAAATGGGAGATCTGGGACATTTTTGCTAATCATTTGAAGTGATTGCAACGGTCAAAGAATGAACTATGGGGGAGGGTGTGACAGTGATGGGTATGTACAGGAGAGGAGTGTGGAGGTATGACCGTGATCGGTATGTACAGGGGAGGAGTGTGGGGGGTATGACAGTGATCGGTATGTACAGGAGAGGAGTGTGGGAGGTGTGACAGTGATCGGTATGTACAGGAGAGGAGTGTGGAGGTATGACAGTGATCGGTATGTACAGGAGAGGAGTGTGGAGGTATGACAGTGATCGGTATGTACAGGAGAGGAGTGTGGGAGGTGTGACAGTGATCGGTATGTACAGGAGAGGAGTGTGGTGGTATGACAGTGATCGTTATGTACAGGAGAGGAGTGTGGAGGGTATGACAGTGATCGTTATGTACAGGAGAGGAGTGTGGGGAGGTGTGACAGTGATGGGTATGTACAGGAGAGGAGTGTGGGGGGTATGACAGTGATCGGTACGTACAGGAGAGGAGTGTGGTGGTATGACAGTGATCGTTATGTACAGGAGAGGAGTGTGGAGGGTATGACAGTGATCGTTATGTACAGGAGAGGAGTGTGGGGAGGTGTGACAGTGATGGGTATGTACAGGAGAGGAGTGTGGGGGGTATGACAGTGATCGGTACGTACAGGAGAGGAGTGTGGAGGGTATGACAGTGATCGGTATGTACAGGAGAGGAGTGTGGGAGGTATGACAGTGATCGGTACGTACAGGAGAGGAGTGTGGAGGTATGACAGTGATCGGTATGTACAGGAGAGGAGTGTGGAGGTGTGACAGTGATCGGTATGTACAGGAGAGGAGTGTGGGAGGTATGACAGTGATCGGTATGTACAGGAGAGGAGTGTGGAGGTGTGACAGTGATCGGTACGTACAGGAGAGGAGTGTGGAGGTATGACAGTGATCGGTATGTACAGGAGAGGAGTGTGGGAGGTATGACAGTGATCGGTACGTACAGGAGAGGAGTGTGGGGGTGTGACAGTGATCGGTATGTACAGGAGAGGGTGTGACAGTGATCGGTATGTACAGGAGAGGAGTGTGGAGGTGTGACAGTGATCGGTATGTACAGGAGAGGAGTGTGGGGGGTATGACAGTGATCGGTATGTACAGGAGAGGAGTGTGGAGGTGTGACAGTGATCGGTATGTACAGGAGAGGAGTGTGGAGGTATGACAGTGATCGGTATGTACAGGAGAGGAGTGTGGAGGTATGACAGTGATCGGTATGTACAGGAGAGGAGTGTGGAGGTATGACAGTGATCGGTATGTACAGGAGAGGAGTGTGGAGGTGTGACAGTGATCGGTATGTACAGGAGAGGAGTGTGGGAGGTATGACAGTGATCGGTATGTACAGGAGAGGAGTGTGGGAGGTATGACAGTGATCGGTATGTACAGGAGAGGAGTGTGGGAGGTATGACAGTGATCGGTATGTACAGGAGAGGAGTGTGGGAGGTATGACAGTGATCGGTATGTACAGGAGAGGAGTGTGGGAGGTATGACAGTGATCGGTATGTACAGGAGAGGAATGTGGGGGGTGTGACAGTGATCGGTATGTACAGGAGAGGGTGTGACAGTGATCGGTATGTACAGGAGAGGAGTGTGGAGGGTATGACAGTGATCGGTATGTACAGGAGAGGAGTGTGGAGGGTGTGACAGTGATCGGTATGTACAGGAGAGGAGTGTGGAGGGTATGACAGTGATCGGTATGTACAGGAGAGGAGTGTGGAGGGTGTGACAGTGATCGGTATGTACAGGAGAGGAGTGTGGAGGTGTGACAGTGATCGGTATGTACAGGAGAGGAGTGTGGAGGGTATGACAGTGATCGGTATGTACAGGAGAGGAGTGTGGAGGTGTGACAGTGATCGGTATGTACAGGAGAGGAGTGTGGAGGTGTGACAGTGATCGGTATGTACAGGAGAGGAGTGTGGAGGTGTGACAGTGATCGGTATGTACAGGAGAGGAGTGTGGAGGTGTGACAGTGATCGGTATGTACAGGAGAGGAGTGTGGAGGGTATGACAGTGATCGGTACGTACAGGAGAGGAGTGGGGAGCTATGACAGTGATCGGTCGGTATGTACAGGAGAGGAGTGTGGAGGGTATGACAGTGATCGGTATGTACAGGAGAGGAGTGTGGAGGGTATGACCGTGATCGGTACGTACAGGAGAGGGGTGTGGAGGGTATCACAGTGGGCAGTATGCGGAGGAGAGGTGTGGAGGGTATCACAGTGGGCAGTATGCGGAGGAGAGGTGAGGAGGGTATCACAATGGGCAGTATGGGAGGAGAGGTGTGGAGGGTATCACAGTGGGCAGTATGGGAGGAGAGGTGTGGAGGGTATCACAGTGGGCAGTATGGGAGGAGAGGTGTGGAGGGTATCACAGTGGGCAGTATGGGAGGAGAGGTGTGGAGGGTATCGCAGTGGGCAGTATGGGAGGAGAGGTGTGGAGGGTATCACAGTGGGCAGTATGTGGAGGAGAGGTGTGGAGGGTATCACAGTGGGCAGTATGAGGAGGAAAGGTGTGGAGAGTATCACAGTGGGCAGTATGAGGAGGAGAGGACTGTGGAGGGTATCACAGTGGGCAGTATGTGGAGGAGAGGTGTGGAGGGTATCACAGTGGGCAGTATGTGGAGGAGAGGTGTGGAGGGTATCAGTGGGCAGTATGTGGAGGAGAGGTGTGGAGGGTATCACAGTGGGCAGTATGTGGAGGAGAGGTGTGGAGGGTATCACAGTGGGCAGTATGTGGAGGAGAGGTGTGGAGGGTATCACAGTGGGCAGTATGCGGAGGAGAGGTGTGGAGGGTATCACAGTGGGCAGTATGCGGAGGAGAGGTGTGGAGGGTATCACAGTGGGCAGTATGCGGAGGAGAGGTGTGGAGGGTATCACAGTGGGCAGTATGAGGGGGAGAGGTGTGGAGGGTATCACAGTGGGCAGTATGTGGGGGAGAGGTGTGTGGAGGGTATCACAGTGGGCAGTATGTGGAGGAGAGGTGTGGAGGGTATCACAGTGGGCAGTATGAGGAGGAGAGGTGTGGAGGGTATCACAGTGGGCAGTATGCGGAGGAGGGGTGTGGAGGGTATCACAGTGGGCAGTATGCGGAGGAGGGGCGTGGAGGGTATCACAGTGGGCAGTATGTGGGGGAGAGGTGTGGAGGGTATCACAGTGGGCAGTATGTGGAGGAGAGGTGTGGAGGGTATCACAGTGGGCAGTATGAGGAGGAGAGGTGTGGAGGGTATCACAGTGGGCAGTATGTGGAGGAGAGGTGTGGAGGGTATCACAGTGGGCAGTATGTGGAGGAGAGGTGTGGAGGGTATCACAGTGGGCAGTATGTGGAGGAGAGGTGTGGAGGGTATCACAGTGGGCAGTATGTGGAGGAGAGGACTGTGGAGGGTATCACAGTGGGCAGTATGAGGAGGAGAGGTGTGGAGGGTATCACAGTGGGCAGTATGCGGAGGAGGGGCGTGGAGGGTATCACAGTTGGCAGTATGCGGAGGAGGGGTGTGGAGGGTATCACAGTGGGCAGTATGTGGGGGTACAGCACAGCATAAAGTGAAGAGGACAGCCCAGTCATGTAAACAGCCTCTCCCCCTCATGATGGAGCTTTCTGATGCATTAAGCAGTGTGGTAGGTCTGCACACTGTGACCTACTGACCTGCGTTTTATGAATGGGCTGTATAGTTCGGACCATGATGTAGAGATACATTGCAGTGTACAGTGGATAGGTTGAGTTTATGGTGGTTGAGGGTCTGCCCAGGTGTCTATAAATGGCGGTTTATGCTGTGTCATGTGATTCTCCATCTCCTCTACCTCCAGGTTGACATATTCAGTAAGCAGTTGTTGTTGATCCCCATACACCTGGAGGTGCACTGGTCTCTCGTCTGCGTCAACGTCAGTAAACGGACCATTACTTACTTTGATTCCCAGCGTACGCTGAACAGGCGCTGCCCGAAGGTGAGCTCTGCCGACACCCATTGTGTGCTCCGCCTCCTACCTGTATGCCTTGCCTCCCCCGGTCCTGCCTTGCCTCCCCCGGTCCTGCCTTGCCTCCCCCGGTCCTGCCTTGCCTCCCCCGGTCCTGCCTTGCCTCCCCCCGGTCCTGCCTTGCCTCCCCCCGGTCCTGCCTTGCCTCCCCCGGTCCTGCCTTGCCTCCCCCGGTCCTGCCTTGCCTCCCCCGGTCCTGCCTTGCCTCCCCCGGTCCTGCCTTGCCTCCCCCGGTCCTGCCTTGCCTCCCCCGGTCCTGCCTTGCCTCCCCCGGTCCTGCCTTGCCTCCCCCGGTCCTGCCTTGCCTCCCCCGGTCCTGCCTTGCCTCCCCCGGTCCTGCCTCGCCTCCCCCGGTCCTGCCTTGCCTCGCCTCCCCCGGTCCTGCCTTGCCTCGCCTCCCCCGGTCCTGCCTTGCCTCGCCTCCCCCGGTCCTGCCTTGCCTCGCCTCCCCCGGTCCTGCCTTGCCTCGCCTCCCCCGGTCCTGCCTTGCCTCGCCTCCCCCGGTCCTGCCTTGCCTCGCCTCCCCCGGTCCTGCCTTGCCTCGCCTCCCCCGGTCCTGCCTTGCCTCGCCTCCCCCGGTCCTGCCTTGCCTCGCCTCCCCCGGTCCTGCCTTGCCTCGCCTCCCCCGGTCCTGCCTTGCCTCCCCCGGTCCTGCCTCCACAACCGTCAGCTTTGATCGCTCTCTCAGTAGACTACAGAACTGTATTGGGCGCCTCCTAGTGTGGGCTCACAGTATTGACAGAGCATAGAAATAAAGCTGCTCCACTGACTTGTAAATGGCCCTTTAAATGAAAGATGTTGCCATAAACGGTGAAGAGTTCTGGAGATAGTTAATTGCTCCCACAGTTGATTTGTTCACACCAAGCTGCTTGCCTATTGCAGATTCAGTCTTCCCAGCCCCGTGCAGGTCTACAATTTTGTTTCTGGTGTCCTTCGACAGCTCTTTGGTCTTCACCATAGTGGAGTTTGGAGTGTGACTGTTTGAGGTTGTGGACAGGTGTCTTTTATACTGATAACAAGTTCAAACAGGTGCCATTGATACAGGTAATGAGTGCAGGACAGAGGAGCCTCTTAAAGAAGAAGGTACAGGTCTGTGAGAGCCAGAAATCTTGTTTGTTTGTAGGTGACCAAATACTTATTTTCCACCGTAATTTGCAAATAAATTCTTTCCAGATCAGCCAATGAGATTGTCTGGATTTGTTTTCTCATTTTGTCTCTCATAGTTGAGGTCTCCCTATGATGCCAATTACAGGCCTCTCTCATCTTTGTAAGTGGGAGAACTTGCACAATTGGTGGCTGACTAAATACTTTTTTGCCCCACTTTTTTGCTAGGCAGCAGGAGATGCTTGTATTCTAGTAACCGAGGACGTTAGGCAGCAGGAAATGCCTGTATCCTAGAAACCGAGGATGCTAGGCAGCACGAGATGCCTGTATCCTAGTAACCGAGGACGTTAGGCAGCAGGAAATGCCTGTATCCTAGAAACCAAGATGCTAGGCAGCAGGAGATGCCTGTATCCTAGTAACGGAGGACACTAGGCAGCAGGAGATGCCTGTATCCTAGTAACGGAGGACGCTAGGCAGCAGGAGATGCCTGTATCCTAGTAACCAAGGACGCTAGGCAGCAGGAGATGCCTGTATCCTAGAAACCGAGGGTGCTAGGCAGCAGGAGATGCTTGTATCCTAGTAACCGAGGACACTAGACAGCAGGAGATGCCTGTATCCTAGTAACGGAGGACGCTAGGCAGGAGGAGATGCCTGCATCCTAGAAACCGAGGATGCTAGGCAGCAGGAGATGCCCGCATCCTAGCAAACAAAGATGCTAGGCAGCAGGAGATGCTTGTATCCTAGTAATGGAGGATGCTAGGCAGGAGAAGATGTCTGTATCCTAGTAACGGAGGACGCTAGACAGGAGAAGATGTCTGTATCCTAGTAACGGAGGACGCTAGGCAGGAGAAGATGTCTGTATCCTAGTAACGGAGGACGCTAGGCAGGAGAAGATGTCTGTATCCTAGTAACGGAGGACGCTAGGCAGGAGAAGATGTCTGTATCCTAGTAACGGAGGACACTAGGCAGGAGAAGATGTCTGTATCCTAGTAACGGAGGACACTAGGCAGGAGAAGATGTCTGTATCCTAGTAACGGAGGACACTAGGCAGGAGAAGATGTCTGTATCCTAGTAACCAAGGATGCTAGGCAGGAGAAGATGTCTGTATCCTAGTAACGGAGGACACTAGGCAGGAGAAGATGTCTGTATCCTAGTAACGGAGGATGCTAGGCAGGAGGAGATGTCTGTATCTTTATAACTGAGGGATGTTGGGCCGCAGGTGTCTTTTAAATCTACATTTCCATCCAAGATCCTGTCGACATGGTGACAACACTGCTGCACAGTTTTTAATGCACAACAACCAGTATTGTCAGCCTGTTACAGGAAGTGGAATTCTATCAGGCAATAACGAGATTTCCCTTCCCTCCTTAGCACATAGCCAAATACCTGCAGGCTGAAGCCGTGAAGAAAGAGCGTGCAGAATATATGGACGACTGGAAGGGATACTTCAAGATGGTGAGTGCAGAAGTCCATTCCTTCTGTTCTTGTATGTTCTGTGATGGACCGCATTGGGAGCGATTTTGTTCTTTTTGTCATTTTTTTGTTCTTTTTAATTTTAGAATGTGGCAAGACAGAATAATGACAGCGACTGCGGCGCGTTTGTATTGCAGGTGAGGATGCTCAACCTCTAAATCGCCAATGATCGAATCAATGACCGCTTCCCCCTCCTGTGTCGGAGGAGCCGTCTACCGCCTACCTTCATGGTCCCAACCCTGCTTTTCCTACTACTCGTCCCTCAGCTTCTTTTCTTAACCTGAACCCTCATCTCCCCATCCCTTCATTCTACAGGTGCAACTCGAAAAATGAGAATATGGTGCAAAAGGTCATTTATTTCAGTGCAGCAACTTAAAAGGTGAAACTAATATATGAGATAAACTCATTCCATGCAAAGCAAGATAGTTCAAGCCGTGATTTGTCATCATTGTGATGATTATGGCTTACAGCTCATGAAAACCCCAAATCCACAATCTCAGAAAATGAGAATATTCCATGCAATCAATAAAACAAGGATTGTACATAGAACAATATCGCACCTCTGAAAAGTAGAAGAATGCATATGTACTCAGTACTTGGTTTGGGCCCCTTTTGCAGCAATTACTGCCTCAATGCGGCGTGGCATGGAAGCTATCAGCCTGTGGTACTGCTGAGGTGTTATGGAAGACCAGGATGCTTCAATAGCGGCCTTCAGCTCTTCTGCATTGTTCGGTCTCATGTCTCTCATCTTTCTCTTGGCAATGCCCCATAGATTCTCTATGGGGTTCAGGTCAGGCGAGTTTGCTGGCCAATCAAGCACAGTAATCCCACGGTCATTGAACTAGGTTTTAGTGCTTTTAGCAGTGTGGGAGGTGCCAAGTCCTGCTGGAAAATGAAGTCAGCATCCCCATAAAGCTCATCTGCGGAAGGAAGCATGAAGTGCTCCAAAATTTCCTGGAAGCGTCTTACCTGGGCTAAAGAAAAACAGACTTGGTCTGTTGCTCAGTGGTCCAAAGTCCTCTTTTCTGATGAGAGCAACTTTTGCATCTCATTTGGAAACCAAGGACCCCGAGTATGGAGGAAGAATGGAGAGGCCCAAGGACCCAGAGTATGGAGGAAGAATGGAGAGGCCCAAGGACCCCGAGTATGGAGGAAGAATGGAGAGGCCCAAGGACCCCGAGTATGGAGGAAGAATGGAGAGGCCCAAGGACCCCGAGTATGGAGGAAGAATGGAGAGGCCCAAGGACCCCGAGTATGGAGGAAGAATGGAGAGGCCCAAGGACCCCGAGTATGGAGGAAGAATGGAGAGGCCCAAGGACCCCGAGTATGGAGGAAGAATGGAGAGGCCCAAGGACCCCGAGTATGGAGGAAGAATGGAGCGGCCCAAGGACCCCGAGTATGGAGGAAGAATGGAGAGGCACACACTGCAAGATGCTTGAAGTCCAGTGTGAAGTTTCCACAGTCTGTGTTGATTTGGGGAGCCATGTCATCTGCTGGTGTTGGTCCACTGTGCTTCATTAAGTCCAGGGTCAACGCAGCCATCTACCAGGAGATTTTGGAGCACTTCATGCTTCCTTCCACAGATGAGCTTTATGGGGATGCTGACTTCATTTTCCAGCAGGACTTGGCACCGCCCACACTGCCAAAAGCACCGAAACCTGGTTCAATGACTGTGTGGGATTATTGTGCTTGATTGGCCAGCAAACTCGCCTGACTTGAACCCCATAGAAAATCTATGGGGCATTGCCAAGAGAAAGATGAGAGACATGAGACCGAACAATGCAGAAGAGCTGAAGGCCGCTATTGAAGCATCCTTGAGTACATATGCATTCTTCTACTTTTCAGAGGTGCGATATTGTTCTATGTACAATCCGTGTTTTATTGATTGCATGGAATATTCTCATTTTCTGAGATTGTGGATTTGGGGTTTTCATGAGCTGTAAGCCATAATCATCACAATGATGACAAATCACGGCTTGAACTATCTTGCTTTGCATGTAATGAGTCTCATATATTAGTTTCACCTTTTAAGTTGCTGCACTGAAATCAATGAACTTTTGCACAATATTCTAATTTTTCGAGTTTCACCTGTACAACCCACTCACCACATTACGACCCTCTTCTCCTATTCCCTCTTATATACTATTCCCTACTTTTTCCAAGACCAGCTCACCGCATTACAATGCTCTCCTCCATATCGATCCCTACCTACCCATTCCAAGACCACCACACCACTTTATGACCCTCTCCTACTGTTGCTGCCTTATATAGAATTCCCTTCCCTTTCCAAGACCACCACACCATGTGATGGCCTTATCCTCCTATTTCCCCTTAAATCTTTCCCTACCTACCCATTCCAAGACCACCACATTTGAGCCCTCTCTTCCTATTGCCCCCCTATATATCATTCCCTTCTTGCCCATTCCGAGACCACCACACCGTGTTATGGCCCTTTTCTCCTATTGCCCCCTTTTTCTATAATTCCTTTTCCCTACCCTATCCAAGGCCACAGCACCATGTTATGGCCTTATGCTCCTTTTGCTCCCTTATATATCTTTCTCTACCTACCCTTTCCGAGACCACCACACCACACGGTGACCCTCTCTTTGTGTCCCCTTATAGATCATTCACTTCTTACCCATTACGAGACCACCACACCACGTTGTGTCCTTTTCCTCCTAATGCCCCCTTATATATCATTTCCTTTCTCCACCCTTTCCAAGACCAGAGCCATATGTTTTGGCCTTATCGCTTTCCATATATATATAGATAGAGATATATAATATGACTTTGCGCAGCCCTGCTGCCCTGTAGCAGTATTTCTGCTATAGGGCGGGGGCATAAGAGGTTGAAGGGGGTGATTGGCTTCTATACCCACAGTAGATAACCAACAAGACCATGTGTGTCGGTGGTTTCGTCTAATTGGAGAGGCAGACAATGCTCTTTGCTCAAGAAATCCCTAACAACCTCTGGAGGGAACCACAGAGTTGCACGGAACCCTCGCTGAGAGGCTGATCTATAGTACATGCTGCATTTTGGAACTTGTGTACCATTACCTCGAGTTTGTGAACAGCGAAAATATGAACATTGATTAAAAAAAAAAGATGGCCGCTCTCATGTCCTGTGTGTCCTTTTGTCTTTACAGTACTGCAAGTTCCTGGCACTGGAGCTGCCATTTTCCTTCGGCCAGCAGGACATGCCTAAACTGAGGCGCCAGATGTACAAGGAACTGTGTCATTGTAAGCTGACCGCGTGAAGAGAAGTTCCAGGCCCAAGCGTCCGGACTGAGCCAGAGTCCCGTGGTATTATGACAGAGGGGCTCTCCGTGTTCTATCACTGCCCCGCTCTGTGCCCGTACTGTGAGGGACACCCCTCATGCTACACCAAGGCTTTTTCAGCCTCCACTTGTACATTGTTTTATGGAGTCGCGGGGGGGTTTTCTAAACACCCGTTCCCAAGGGTTCCCTCCTCGTCTTTGCAGACAGTCTCGTGTCTGTGTCCTGCCGAAAACTTTTCTCAGACTATGTTACGCCCTCCCCACCCCCCACCCCCACCTCTTCATCCTATGTGTCTTTTATTTTTTTTTATTGTTTTTTGATTTTTTTTTTTTTCTTATTTAAACGGTTTCTGGGAAAAGAAAAAAAAAACATTTGTAGGTCTTTTTTTTTTTTTTTTTTTTTTTTGGCAGAAAAGAAGAAAAAGTTAAAAACAAATAAAACGTTCTATAGAAATCCTGTCTGTAAAGTAGAAGTTTTCAAATTGGTCTCTTTCTGATATCTGCTGTGGTTGCGTCTGGTTAGCAAACCTTTATTGTGGGTGCGGAAAGGGGTGGAGCTCATTGAAGTAAGTCATTGTTTGGGTTTGTTGTGGGGAGGGGCTTATAGTTACGAAGATTTGGGTAGCCAACCTAACTTTTTGGAAGAAAAGGGTGGATCTCAATGACGTAAATAATTGTTTGGGGTTGTTCTGGGGAGTGGCCAAGGAAGGGGTTGGATCTCAATAAAGTAAGTCAGTGAGGTTGTTCAGGGGAGGGGCAAACCTATATTTGGTCAAGAATGGTTTGGATCTCAAGGAAGTCATTGTTTGGGATTCTGGAGAGAGGCCAACCTGTATTTGGTTAAAGAAGGGGGGTGGATCTCAAAGTAAGTAATTGTTTGGGTTTGTTCTGAGGAGGGGCTTATAGTTACAAATATTTGGGTAGCCAACGTAAAGTTGTTCAAAGAAGGGGGTGGATCTCAATGAAGTAAGTCTTTGTGGTCGTTCTGGAGAGGTGCCAACCTATATTTGGTCAAAGGAGATGGATCTCTATAAAGTAAGTAATTTGGGGTTGTTCTGGGGAGGCACCAAAGAAGGGGGTGGATATCAAGGAAGTCATTGTTTGAGATTCTGGGTAGAGGCCAACCTTTATTTGGTCAAAGATGGGGCTGACCTCAGTGATGTAAGTCATTGTTTGGGCTTGTTCTGGGCAGAGGCCAACCTATATTTGGTCAAAGAAGGGGGTGGATCTCAACAAAGTCAGTCATTGTTTGGGGTTGTTCTGGGGAGGGGCTAACCTATATTTGGTCAAAGACTGAGGTGGATCTCAAAGTAAGTAATTGTTTGGGTGTGTTCTGAGGAGGGGCTTATAGTTACAAATATTTGTTTAGCCAACATAAAGTTGATCCAAGAAGAGAGTGGATCTCAATGAAATAAGTCTTTGTGGTCGTTTTGGGGAGGTGCCAACCTATATTTGGTCAAAGGCAATAGATCTCTATAAAGTAAGTCATTTGGGGGTATTCTGGGGAGGTGCTAAAGAAGGGGGTGGATCTTAAGGAAGTCATTGTTTGGGGTTCTGGGCAGAAGCCAATCTTTATTTGGTCAAAGAGGGGGGGTGGACCTCAATGATGTAAGTCATTGTTTGGGCTTGTTCTGGGGAGGGGCCAACCTATATTTGGTCAAAGAATGTGGTGGATCTCAATATAGTAAGTAATTTGGGTTTGTTCTGAGGAGGGGCTTATAGTTACAAATATTTGGGTAGCCAACGTAAAGTTGATCAAAGAAGGGGGTGGATCTAATGAAATAAGTCTTTGTGGTCATTCTGCAGAGGTGCCAACCTGTATTTGGTCAAAGGGGATAGATCTCAATAACGTAAGTCACTTGGGGTTGTTCTTGGGAGGGCCAAAGAAGGGGGTGTATCTCATGGAAGTCATTGAGGTTCTGGAGAGAGGCCAACCTTTATTTGGTCAAAGATATGGGGGTGGACCTCAATGATGTAAGTCATTGTTTGGGCTTGTTCTGGGGACGGGCCAACCTATATTTGGTCAAAAGGGGTGGATCTCAAAGTAAGTAATTGCTTGGGTTAGTTCTGGGGCGGGGATTATAGTTACTCATATTTGGGTAGTTAACCAAAATTTGGTTGAAGATGGGTGTGGATCTCAAATAAGTCATTGTTTGGCGTTGTTCTGGGGAGGAGCCGTCCTATATTTGGTCAAAGATGGGGGTGGATCTCAATAAAGTGTCATTGGTTGGGATTGTTCTGGGAAGAGGCCAAAGAAGGTGGATCTCAATGAAGTCATTGTTTTGGGTTGTTCTGGGGAGAGGCTATCCTATGTTTGGTCAGAGAAGGGGGTGGGTCTCAGTGAAGTGAATGATTGTTGTGGGGACTCTGGGGAGGGACTTGACTGTGCAAATATTTGATTATCTGACCTATATTTAGTTATGGAAAGGGGGTGGGGCTGAGCTGGCTCTGGGGAGGGGCCTATTAAGTTATGATGTACAGAATACGGTTTCAGCAACAAGTAAAGGGTTCAGGAACAACTCTTGAGATTTTAGTTGTGTTGGCATCAGGTTTACAAGTGCAGACCTAAAGCTTTATTCACACACAAGACCAGAAGGACCAGTCACCAGTATTGCCTGTGGTCTCCCTGCAGTTAATTTCCACGTTACTGACTTCCCATACGTTGCTCTGCACTGTGCATCTGTGTGGTGGTGGCCATCTTGGTAGATGAGCAAGGCTTTGCTTCCCTGTGTCATACTTGCACCCTTGATGACTGGTAAACCAAGGAGTAATTAGGGTATTGAAGCAGCAAGAGCAATGAAGGAAGCACAGATCCAGAAAATGGATGAAGCGGGAGCAGGAAGACTTGCATTGCAAGTCCCCTAGGTACAGCTTCCTCTCCAGCAAGGAGAACTGAGCAGCAGAGTAGTGACATCAACAAACCTGGGCAGACTTGGATTCAGACAGCAGTGCCTTAGATGACCTCACACTGCAGATGAAGCTATGAGTGCCTAAGCACAGGAATTGTGCCTAGGCACAATTAACATCTCTAGATGTTCCTACAAGCTAACCAATATTTGCTATTTTATTGCACAAAACAGGACACAGGCTTGATATTCATAGACCCTGGGCATGCTCTGGTACCTTCAGGTGACTGGACACTGGCCAAACATTTGAGGATACGCCTCCTAGGCATCCCCCTATACTTCTATCCCACTCCGTGAGTCCTTCGTGTCCTAGGGTGATGGACCTCTTCTCCCTTGCAGAGAAATCCCTCTTCATGTAACTAGTTTATTATTTTACTTCAGATTCTTTAATCAACTCTTCGCTGTCTTCTAATACAATAGTAGAAGCAGTGCATCCCGACCAGTGCACCTTTAGGAGCCATACCCAGATCCCACACCATGAGGACAGCCTGTAATGTTGCTTCAGGCTCCTGGATCCTGCATGGGGTACACTTCAGCACTTTGTGAACAGCATGTAGTTAGCCGCTTGGTACTCTACAGGTTTAAGACTGTGATCCATCCCTATGGAACCCAGACCCTGACGTGCCCTCCAAGGAGTATGCCCACCATGAGAAGAGAAGCCTGAATTCGTTGCAGGGATGAGTGACGTGGATGGTTAAGTCCTGGGGTACACCTCAGCATTTTGTGAACAGCGATTAGGTAGCTTCAGGGTACTCTACAGGTCCAGGGCTGTGGTCCATGCCAATGGAACCCAGACCCTGAAGAGTCATCCAAGGGGTATGCCCACCATGAGAGGAGAAGCCAGTGACATGAATGGGAGTGTCACCCTTCATATTGGACTGTTACCCCATAGCATGTATGAGACATAAGATCTGTAACTTGCTTTACACTAATGTATATCCTGAATAGTATTTGTTTATAAAACGCCTCTCACGTATGCCCTTTGACGGAGAATGTCTTTTTTGGTGAGGCACTTAAATCCATCAAAGATCTTACAGAAGGAAAGTTCCTCCTTATACAGTAGAAGATTCCAAAATCTTCCTCCTTGTGGGCCTTTACTTTTTCAAAGCCACAAGCATCTCACTCAACCCATGCTTCAGCTTCTAAGCAAACACTCATCCCTTCCTTTCGGCACAAAACATGGAACACAAAGTCTTTCCCAAAACCCTCTGCCCAACGAAGAGGTGCTCTCCCTCCCAAGAGTCTGTTACAGTTTGCTTTACTCAGGATGACAGATGTCCCAACGCTGTGGGTTCAAAATATTTTCAGACTCTATCCCCTCCATTTTTTTTTTTTTTTCTTTTTCTCAAACCAACCAAAATCTGCCCAAGGACAGTTAGATTTACAGATTGCCCTGGACCACCACTTTTCCAAGGAAGTTGTAGTTTGGGTCTCTGGAAGACCCGATCAAGGGACTCTATTCAAACCTGTTCACGGTACCAAAACCCAATGGTTGTATTCATCCTATCCTAGACCTAAAATCCCTAAACAAATGCCTTCAAGTTCTAAAGTTTTGTATGGAATCTGCAAGGTCAGTTACCACTTCTGAGACAAGGGGGGATACCTGGCATTTGTAGACATCCACGATGCCTATCTGCAAAATCCCATTTACTCACTTAATCGGTGCTTTCTGTGCTTTGCAGTATGGGACAATCAGTTGTAGTTTGTCGCATTGCCTTTTGGTATGTCTGTTCCCAGAGTATTCACAAAGGCACTTGCATCCCTACTTGTCCTGTAAAGAACTCGGCATTCAGGTCACAGGGTATCTAGATGACCTTCTTTAGAAGGACTCTCCTGCTTTCCATCTGCAAACGTTCAGATATTCAAACACTTCAGGCTTTTGCTTGACTAATCAAATCCGCCTGGAATACTCGGGCCTCATTCTACAAACAGCCCAAACTAAACTTTCAGAAAACGAGTTTCTCTTGGATTTTGCACTTAGACCTGAAAACCACAGAGACAACCCTCTGAAGGATTCTTAGAGTTTTGGGCCTCATGATGGCCTCCTTCAAGGCTGTACCATTTACCCAATTC